AAACCGATAGTCGCACGAGCTTTCTGTTCGTCTTTCTTCCACTGTGCCGTCACCGGCTCCGGTTTCGCGTTGGCAATAACATACCAGATCTCTTCCCGCATCAACATCATTTCCGTTGCGGAATTTCCAGCTCTGCCAGTTCTGGTTGTTGAGCTTGGCAAACATAAGTTTGCTCAAATCCGCCATCTTCACACAACACAAGAGGCACTCGCGACGCGTAAATAAAACGGAGTATAGAATCACTTTTTCGCAATATTTTCACCTTCCGGCACTTGCTCTGTGCCCATAACCTGTGGGAGGACCGAAGCGGATAGAGTTCTCACGGGGCGCAAGCGGGGACACACGTATTGGCTTCGGAAGGATCAAAAATAAATACGCACGGCACTTCACGGAAGAACAGACGAAACTTTACTATTGTTGTTGTTATGTACACATTAAACATATATTGTTGCCAGAAGGGCCGTCATGCACATATAAGTGCCATAAAAGTTTATGTATGGTGAGGGGTAACACAATGTTAATACCTTCACAACCGACAACTTGAAAGAAGGAAGTGGAACTGTTCAGATCGAAAAAGCAATGCGATCCGTAGAAGGTAAGTCAGCTGGTGTTTCTCGCACTTGTCATTTATGCAAGAAAGCCGGTCATATCAAGCGAAACTGCCGAAAGTTCCTGGCCACACTGTTACCAATTGCTCTGGTAACATGTCATTCCAGTTACGAAGTCCACATGCATGTTAATATTCTTCTTGGTTTTTTTTTCATCTTATATATATATATATATATAGACTATTTGATTACACTGAAACAAAGACCATAGCTAGGAATACTATTTTGCAGAAAACACTTATTTTCAGTATAACTACGCTTAATGCCGTTAAATCTACCATGATTTCAGTATAGTTGACTAAAAATATAATCAAATTTACTGCCATTTTGTCAAAACTACTATGCTTACTCAAACGGCATAGTAGTTTTGATAGAAACAATAGTAAAATTAAATGAATTTCGTTTCTGCACAAATCTATTGGTGGGAGTATTTAATTTAAACCATCAATATAGTATTTTTGCCAATGGATTTTGTTTCTGTGTACATTCTTTACGCTTTGTTCATGGCTCGTTTTAATATTATTATTGGATTATTTAAAACAACAATAAAAGTATCACGATGAATTAATGGAAACAAAATAATGAAATGCTTTGTAAATTAGTGTTAAGAGTTATGTGTCTTTTTCCATCATGGGATTTGGCATCTCCTCGAGTTAGAGTGAATTCGATGGCTTTGCGTGACAATCGAGGAGGCCCCAAATTATAAAAAAATAACTATTTGTAGGGCGCCCATGGCTATACAAAAAAATGGTGAAAGGACACTTAACACAAACTGAACTAAAACCTAAATAAATATCCTTACAAATAGTCAACCAGCACCAAAAATAAAAACATTTGTGAACCTTTGCATGTAGGACAACATATAACAACCAAAAGAAAATAAAACGATGAAACAAACACACGAATATAAAGTACGTGTTCTTAGTTTGTTCCATCGTTCACTTATGTAAATAACAAAGAAGACGGCAAAGCTCCGCAACTAAATTTTACAACCCTATTAAAATTTATTAACGCCTGGACTGTTCGCATCTCTACCTCATCATTGCCGAATTTGAGAGGATATGGATAATCGCTACTCCACCGCTTCGGGCGAAAAGCGATTTCGCCGCATCTAAATCGAGATAATGGATAATGAGAAAGGAAAGAGGAGGAAGGAAAGAGGGAGACCAAGCAGTGGATTTTGGATGCCCGACCAGTGAAGACGTCAAGAACCGTGTAAAATCTGGAGTATTTTTCTCTCCGAGTGCGGAAAATTAAAGGTCTTTGAGACCGACCGCGAGTGTATTCCACCGCGTTTGTGACCTCGGTGAAGAACATGATCAGCGAGTTTCTCCTGTTACCGAACCAGCCGTGTTACAAGGCCAGCAGTTGCCACTTTATACCCGCTGCGTGGTAGCCGCGTTTTACCGGCAGGCGCCAGCTGCTTCAAGTTTTTAAACGAACGGACGCCTTCTGAGTATCCTCGTGGTTCCGGGTCAGACAGTGCGGCTACCCCACGTATTCCGGAACATTGAACCCGTTCCCAGCCACGCCAGTCAAGTTTAGAGCATCCGGCGGGGCAGAACAGAAGCATCCCCGCGTCGTAGGTTGGGTGAACACGTGACTACGACACGCCTCCGGCTCCGCCGGCCAAGATCAAGTGTCCCAAGGATTTTTGAGGACGGAGAACCACATCCCGGCCGCGTGAGAAGTGCAGGAGAACGGTACAACGACACGACGAAGACCCTTCCATCATCCTGATCTCCGACGTACGAGACGGGCTAGCCAGTGGCCAACGAGACCCCCTTACTATCGTTGTGCCACACGCGTTCGGTTTGGTGAAACGGACGTTTCTGAGGCAGAGGTACAGTGAGGTCCGGAGGGTTCGCCCCGCTTATTGTTACTGATGCCGATGAGTTTCCCATCCGTCTGCGGGCTAAGGATTCAAGGCAGCTGTAGCGGATCAGTGCCTATACGTCAGGGACATCTGGAACGCGAAAGTGTTTCTAATAGTGTATGTTGACGATCTGCTGATTGCGTCTACCAAAGAGTCGGAAATTGAAAAGGTTTGTGATAAGCTTAAATCGGAATTCGAACTGACATCTCTGGGAGAAGTGAGGCATTTTCTTGGAGTGGAAGTTAAGCGTGAAGGGAACGCGTTCAAGATAGGTCTACGAAACTACATAGACAAACTACTCAAATTGTTCAGTATGGAACAGTGCAAAGCGGCCAAGTCACCGATGGACCCCGGGTATGTGAAGATGATTGAAGCTGGTGAACCGTTCGAAGATCCTACTAACTACCGTAGTTTGGTTGGTGGGCTGCTTTATTTGGCTGTCGTTGCTCAGCCAGACATTGCAGCAAGTGTAGCGATATTGGGAAGAAGATTCAGTGCTCCTCGTGACTGAGACTGGACTGCGGCGAAACGTGTGCTCCGCTATCTGAAGGCTACGAGGTGCTATCATTTACAGCTTGGTGGAGATCAACAGCAGAGCCTGACTGGCTTCTCGGATGCCGACTGGGCCGGTGATGTCAAGAGTCGTCAATCGACATCCGGTATACTGTTCAAGTAAGGAGGAGGTTGCATAATGTGGAGCAGCCGTCGCCAATCATGCGTGAGCCTATCGTCGATGGAGGCTGAGTATGTGGCGATAAGTGAAACTTGTCAGGAGGCACTATGGCTCAGGCAGCTCCTTCGTGACCTGGGTGAGTCTCAGAATCAACCAACGATCGTCATGGAGGATAATCAGGGATGTTTGGCATTCGTGCGTTCTGAACGAGTAAGCAGGAGATCAAAACACATAGATACGAAGGAACGTTTCATACAGGAATTGTCTGTTCGTGGGGAAGTTCAACTGGAGTACTGCCCAACAGACAAGATGCAAGCCGATATTTTGACAAAGCCGTTGGGTCCCGTGAGGAACCGGGAGTTCTGTGAGCTGCTCGGACGCTACGAGGACTGTTCAAATGAAGAGATTTCACATTGAGGGGGAGTGTGGAAAGGTACTGTTATGGAAATGCTTACACCTTCATTATCATTTACCTTGGCTTTTATAAATGAGTTTGTTACACCCTTCACTATATGTATCTTGACATGAATAAAACTGAGTCATTGTTAACCCGTCCATCTGACTACATTACTACTGCGTAACATGGTGTCAGAATAAAAAGCTACTACGCAATTAGCAAATCGGTCGGGAAAATAAGTCGAAAAAAAATACATTTCGGTCGCCGCGAAGATAGTATTTTCGCGAAACGCAGCGTGTTTTTGGTGGAGGAAGGTTTCTATCCACACAGCAACAGTTTTAAACACAGCAACTAGCACAGCAAGCAGCGAACATGAGCTTGCCTCCAAATCCGGATCCAGCGCCGGTACCGGCGGTGATTGCGGCAGCACCCGCAATGAACAGCAACATCCCGTTCCCGGAACAACTGAAGCTTACAGGGAACATGAAGGAGAACGTGGATAATTTCAAGGATTCGTTCGAAATTTACCTCATCGCGTCTGGGCTCGAGTTGCAAGAGGAACGAGTCAAAATCTCAACTTTCAAGGCAGCGCTCGGGTTGGAGGCCAGAAAAATTTTCAATTTGTGGCCACTGCAACCGGAGGAGCAAAACACAGTAGCAGCCTGTCTGGTATCTTTGTCCCAGTACATGGTTCCACAGAGGGACGTGAAATTGGCACGGTATGAGTTCTACCAGTGTCAGCAGCAGTCTTACAGCGACACCGGCGAAGAAGAAAGTATGTCGCACTTCATAAACCGAGCACGGGAGCTCGTCAAAGACTGCAATTTCGGCGCATTGGAGGACGAAATGTTGCGTGACAAAATCATCACCGGAATCCTCGACGTGAACCTCAAGAAGCGGTTTATTGGAGAACAAAACCTTACGTCTGCGATGGTTATCAACCAGTGTCGAACAGAGGAGGCCACGAAAGCAGAGATGGAGCGCCAACACTTGCTGCAACCGGGCCCATCAACACAAACCATAAACAAGGTGGGTAACATCCAAAAACGAAGCAGAAAGTGTACATTTTGTGGTAAATCATATCACCAGAAGCTGACGGACTGCCCGGCCCGCGGAGTGGTTTGTAATTACTGCAAGCAAAAAAACCATTACGCCGCTGTGTGCAGGAAGAAGCAGGAGGATCAAAGTGAGCAGCGATCAAGCACAAAGTCGTCGGGTCGCAGAGCAAAGTAGGTACACATTGTCAGCGAGAACCAAAGCGAACAAGAAGACAGAAGCGACGAAGAGTCAGTAACCACCGTGCAGTATCTCTACACTATCAAGCACAGTCAAGATCCGATGTTGAAGTGTAGCATTACTTTCTTCAATTTGGAAAAACAACCGGTGGCAGTCAGCTGTATCTTGGACTCCGCTGCATCATGTAACGTCATCGGGAAGAGGAACGCCATGCAAATTCTTGGAACGAGTCAGCTGCAGCTGGACAATCATCGAGCAGTTCTTAAGGCCTTTGGTGGAAGCTCATTGAACTCGCTGGGTCGAACAGTAATCGCCTGCACTTACGGTGGCGGGCAATACAAGTTAGTGTTCCACGTCGTCGATTTTGAACAACCTCCACTGCTATCCAAGAACACGTGTATGCAGCTTAAGTTGATTCAAGTTTGCTATACCGTCTGCAAGCAACAAGCATCGAATGCAGCTAGGCAGATTTTGAATGAGCACCCGGAAGTATTCGAAGGCCTCGGAAGATTGGAAGGAGATGTGCACTTGGAGATTGATAGCAGCATCAAGCCAGTGATTCAACAGCCGAGGAGAATTGCGGTAACTCTACGGGAGGAGCTTCGGCAAGCATTATCGCAAATGGAACAGCAAGGTATCATCGCAGAGCAGAAAGAACATACAGACTGGGTCAGCAACCTGGTCCTAGTAAAGCGGAATAACAAACTCCGGGTATGTATCGATCCAATCATCCTCAATAAAGCTTTGAAGCGTCCCCATTATCAAATGCCTACAATGGACGAGTTGTTGCCAGAGTTGGCAAAGGCAAAGGTGTTCACAACCGTGGACGCAAAGAGTGGTTTCTTGCAAATTTGCTTGGACGAGGAGAGCTCCAGATTAACCACTTTTTGGACGCCTTTTGGACGGTACAGATGGTTGCGTATGCCTTTCGGGATATCGCCTGCACCCGAAATATTCCAGAAAAAACTTCACGAAACGATTCACGGTCTTCGCAACGTTCGAGCTCTCGCAGATGATGTACTAATCTACGGCTGTGGCGAAACTGAACAGGAAGCAATGCGTGACCACAATGCAAATTTGAAAGCGTTTCTTCAGCGAATGCACGAGCGGGGAGTGAAGTTGAATAGCGAAAAGGTCAAGCTGTGTCAAGAAAACGTAAAATTTTTCGGACACATTCTCACTTCAGAGGGAGTGAAAGCAGATCCAGATAAAATTAACAGTATTTTGAAGATGGATCCGCCGAAAGACGTTCCATCCCTACTTCGTTTCCTTGGGATGATAACATATTTGACCAACTATTTACCCAGTTTGGCTTCCGTAGCAGAACCTCTACGTCGTCTAACCAACAAGGATGAACCATGGGCTTGGAATCAGGAACAAGAGGAATCCCATCAGCAGCTGAAGCGCATGGTTACGTCAGCGCCTGTTCTACGGTACTTCGATATTCAGAAAGACGTTGTTATCCAGTGTGACAGCAGTAGCGTTGGACTCGGCGCTGTACTGCTGCAAGAAGGGCATCCCGTGGTGTATGCTTCGAAGACTCTGAGTTCAACAGAGCGAAAGTATGCACAAATAGAGAAGGAGACGCTTGCAATCCTCTTTGCTTGTCGAAAATTTGAAATGTATATTATCGGGAAGCCAGTGACAGTTCAAACCGATCATCAGCCACTGATCAGGATTTTTCAGAAACCTTTGGTTGAAGCTCCCCTGAGAATCCAACGGATGCTTCTAGCACTTCAGCGGTACAACACTACTCTCCGGTTTACGCCTGGCAAGGAGGTCATCATAGCCGATATGCTTTCTCGAGCAGCAATCGCCGACGGCGATGATACAAGCAAGGAAATCTACGACGTTTACGCTTTGGAGTATATACCGATCTCCGACGATAGAATTCAGCAGATCAAAGTGGAATCGAAGCAGGATCCAGAGATACAAACTATCATCCAGTTTGTGATCGACGGTTGGCCGAGCAGGTCAGAGGTACCGGAATCACTCCAGGTGTATTGGCCGTTCCGAGAAGAATTCAGCACACATAACGGATTAGTGTTCCGAAACGATCGAATCCTAGTTCCGAGAAGCCTCCAGAAAGAAATTCTGGAACGCTTGCATCAGTCACACTCTGGAATAGAGGCTACTACCAAGCTAGCTCGGGACACCGTGTTCTGGCCTGGTATCAACGACCAAATTCGTCAAAAGGTACAACAGTGTGACATTTGTACCAAGTTCTCGCCCAACCAACAGCCACAACCAATGCAAAGCCACCAGATACCAAGTTATCCATTCCAGAAGTTGAGTATGGACATATGTGAAATTGAACTAGGAGGAAGGAAAACCGTATATCTCATCACAGTTGACGATTTCTCCGACTATTTCGACATCGATGAGCTAACGTCGTTGAGCTCTGCAATGATCATCAAGGCATGCAAGAAGAACTTCGCTAGATTTGGAAGACCACAGATTGTTTCAACGGATAATGGGGTGCAGTTTGTCAGCGAGGAGTTTCAGCGGTTTGCATTGGATTGGGGATTTAAGCACACTGTGTCTGCACCGTATCACCAGCAAGCTAACGGCAAAGCTGAGTCCGCCGTGAAAATAGCAAAGCTGTTACTCAAAAAAGCGTACGAGTCAAAGAAGGATTTTTGGGACCTGCTGTTACAATGGCGAAACACTCCTAACAAGTGTGACAGCTCTCCTGTCCAACGTTTGCTGAACAGAAGAACGCGATTTGGTGTACCCATGTCAGAGAAGAAGTATCTACCCAAAATCGAAGAAGGTGTAGAGGAGAAGATAAAGAGAAACCGGCAGGAAGCGAAGCTGTATTATGACCGCAAAGCAAGCAGACTTCCACCGCTGGAAATTGGACAGCCAGTATTTGTGAAGCTGAGACCAGATGACAAGGAGTGGAAGAACGCAACAGTGATTGAACCTGTAACCGACCGCTCATCGATAGTTGCTGTTGGTGACAGGGAATATCGTCGTGACAACACGTTGATTAAACCAGCGCAACCAAACGCGATGGTTGAAAGATCACCGCATCGTATCAAAGAAGAATCAACTCGGAATCGGTACCTATAACCAACAACTTCACCAATCGTTGAGGGACTCACGCGACCACGGCGTGCCATCCAGGCTCCGAAGAGATTTGAAGATTTTAAGATGTTCTAAGTTGCTTGAAGAAGAAGAAAAGGGAGATGTTATGGAAATGCTTACACCTTCATTATCATTTACCTTGGCTTTTATAAATGAGTTTGTTACACCCTTCACTATATGTATCTTGACATGAATAAAACTGAGTCATTGTTAACCCGTCCATCTGACTACATTACTACTGCGTAACAGGTACAATGATCACCTCTTCGTAAGTATACTTTGTCCTTTTGCCCAGCCCTACTGCGTACACCTTCTGTGCACATACACTTTGTTGTCGTATGCGCGACGGTAGAGAGAGAACCTCATTAGTTAAAAGTTCGCTACCGCGTGTGACGTGTTCTTTATCCAGATAATAAAGTCCCGTTGTAATCGTTAGTTCTCACGTGTAATTTTCTCCTCAAACGATCCGAAATCCTTGATGGTGTTCCGCTGCATTGACCTGTACTCCACCGACAAGATTGACTGATGGACAAACAACCGGTGGAAACTAACGAGAATAAACACGAGTGCGGACTACAGAGATTGCTAAAGTATGATTGTGTCAGTGATTTGTTTTCATCGGGAAAATTTTCCGCTGAGAAGTTTTTTTTTCCGATGCAAACATTTTGCGTATACGTATACGTGACGTAGCTTGCGTACGATAAACGTCAGCAATCTCAATAGTCGCTCGCTATATTCATAGTCTGGCGGATAGAATTTCGATCTATCAAAAAGCGGAACCATTTCAATATATTGTAGACCAATAATTGAAAAGGTACTATTAACATTTATAAACAAAACGGTGATTACTCGTTCCTCGCCAATCGAAGGTAAATTACCAGCATCATCGGATAGGGGAAACTTTCTACAACCTAAAGATGGCGTTAGTTTGTGTACACTAATAAAAATTCAATGATTATTTGTATGTGTCCCTCACATGAATTTTTGCAATGTGATAAACAAATGATATATATGTGTCGTACATATAGTTCTTATGCGTAGACATAAACTTCATGTGTAACCGCACATACTATTCATTGGACTCATAAATTTCATGTGTACTTCTGAGAGGATTCTGTTTATGTGTGGACACATGAAAATTATGGGAAATTTTACATGGAAATTCACCAATAAAAATGTGTCGAATTTTATGAGTGTAGGTGAGCCTTTAGTCACGAGAAAACGGTTTCCGAAATTTTGTTCGCAATAGCTGATGTGCTCTTTTTTGTTGTTGGTCGTGATTTGCTCGATTGGTTCCGCTATTTGACAGCTCAATTGGTTCCCGAGATTCTATCCACCAGACTATGAATATAGCGCCTATAGTGCGGACCGGTTGATAAAAGGCCTGTGTGGAATTGAACGTTAGTCTTACGTCGGATTGATGCTCATGAGCAAATTTACCTCTCGGTAGAGGTCTTCTTGTTCGTCGTCTGGTTTCGTGCAGACTGCTTGCGCTTTGTGTTCGGAAAGCTGTAGTTAGACTTTTCTAATTAGCAAGCATTCTTATTGGAATTTTATAGATAAAAATGAGAAAATAAGGCGACAGCAGGCCAGACAGCGAGCAAGCCGCAGGAAAAAATCTTCATTTTCAAAGCTGAGTTTGACTACGAATGAGGTCGATTTTCGAGGATTATTTAAAAAATAACTGATTCAGTAAGTTTAGCGAATGTAAGTACAGTTAGCAAGTGAATGCAAGTGAGGAAGTGAATGCTAGTGTCACAATGGTAAATAACGTTTGCTAATCTAAAATTAAAAATAAACATACAAGAAACCTACACACATGTTCCGGAGGAGGAGTTTTGGAAAGCAGCCGAGAAAGATGTGGGTAGGATCCGAGGTAGGATCCCGGTTCCCGTAAAGTATGCCTTAGAATACACGGGTTATTTGAACGCTGCATTGGGAAATATCGACGACCACGAAATCGCCAACATTGAAAAAGACGTTCAGCGAGTGTCAACTAAAACATCCAACAGGGATCTTTTGAAGTCCTTCGAAAACTTTGAAAACAATCCCGCAGATTTTCGTTTTTTTGCCGGAGAAAGAGCTATCATGAAGATACTGGTAGCAGCAGTTAGGAAGCGAGGACTTAATTATTTCTTTAGGAAGGAGAAGCAAACATCGAATATAACAGCTTCGAGAGCATCGCAGCTTCATACGCAACACAGTCCGGTTACAGACTATGAGTTTGCAATCCGTGAAAAAGTTGTAAGGTTCTATGAAAAAAGGTAACTAGCTTTTATATCCTTCGAATAAGTTTTTTAAAAAATCAGTTTCTTAGGTACGATGGTTCCGAAGAACATCGAGCGTTCTTACTATCGCTTAAGTCACTAACCATAGTTGCCCCGATTGAACATGAGAATATGATAGCGAAAATCAACTGTCCTTTGTGCACCAACGCAAGCTACATTTCATGTCGGCCAGAAAAATCCGGACCATGGAAGTTATCGAACTTCGTTGCGCACATAAAAAATGTCCACAAGCTTGAAACAATATCAAAGCAATCAGCAAGCCATCGAAAGCGAGCTGGAAGATACTGATCTCATCAGCTCGGCTGAAGTTCCTCGGAAATCAATAAGGACAAGTCCAACGGAAGTGATGCAAGAAAGTTCATCGAACATGATTCTCCAAAGTTCACAGGAATCGATTGTCGAAAGTTTACAGGAAGTAATTTACGAAAGTCCAATTGAAAAAATGCTCAAAATTCCAACGGTAGCGGACGAAGCATCGAATCACGTTTCCTACTCGTCCTCAGCAGACTGTAGTACTCAGGATCCGTTGGCTATAGTAGAGGCTGATTTCGACGAAGTTATCGAAGAGATATACTTTTCAGACATCTACATTGAACAGAACGAGATTCAAAAGTCTGAACAATCCAGTGAACATGCAGAAATTTTGAGAGACTTGGTCTCAGAAGCAACATATGGCGATGATGAATGTTTCATCGAGCATTTAAGCTACTGAAGTGGGGACGACTCTATCTTCGATGCAGGAAATACTGTTTTTTTGCTGTGGCTAGCTGCGCGTACGCTCAGTAGATAGAAAGAAGATTTATCACGATTTTGAAGATTTCCTGCAAAAAGATGATGCGCGATGCAAGTAGATGCGAGAATTGAAAGAAGATTTTTCGAATATTTATTCGTTAGTGTGAGATTTTTAGAGCATCTAGAATTGAGATTTAGATGTGTCGCCCCCCTTGTGAAGTGCTACATGTGGTCGATCGCAGCACGAATTTGGAGGCCAGTCTGAAAATACAGTTGAATGTTTATAGTAGATCTGCTTCTACAAAAGTTAAAGGGTTGCGATATTCGTTGCTTGAAAAGGACTTTTATGGTTTGTACTATTCAACGTTACAAAATGCTTCAGTTATGATTATTAATTTTGAATATAGATTCATTCAAGGTGGCAGAGAGCTCTATCAATTTGATAAGGCCAATGCATCATCTCCACATATTTGAACACTACAACGTCACCTAAAACAAAACGCCTCTCAGCTTAATGAAGGACAGCTTATGGCCACTGAGCTAAAATCATACCTCGTTGCTAAACTACCCATTGAGTATCTGCTGGAGCGAAGATGCCACGAGGATTTTTGGAGGGGTAGAATTTAGGTCAGACACCGACCGGCTAAGTGGTGTCGTGGCCACACTGGATAGCAACACTGGTCTACCTATAAAAGGACTTTATTGTTCAACGCCACAATAAATTATTAAACACATTCGAAATTATCCAATTGCAAGAAATATTGAACTGGAAATGGCTCAACCTATGGCTACTGACGCCGCGCCATTTTGCTGTTTATATTACTGTACGGAAAATAGATTCGATACGGAATCTGTTACAAAAAAAAAATGGCACCATATAAAACGCGCCACAACAAATTATTAAACACAACTCCAGAAGGCGGAAGTCCAAGTAGTGTGCAAAGCGAAAGACAGTGATACCCTCTTCATAAGAACAATGATCGACGAGATGAAGTTTAATAAATCCAATGACCATAGCTTTGGAGGGTGGTTTGCATCAATAATTCAATATGCGTTCAGGACCTCGGATTTTCCTCAGTGTGTGCAGGTGGATCCAATTGATGCTATCTGTCACCCAGTCACGCGTAACTCCAAATACGGTGACAGTGCAGATTTGGAGAAGCATTTGTACGACTTGGAGGAGCTCTTTATTCGCCTGGCATGTGCGGGTCAAGCACTCGAAGAATCGTTGAAAATTGCAATGATACTTCGGAGTCTACCGGAGTCATACAGCGGTCTTATGACGGCTTTGGTGGAGAGCCGGCCGGAGGCAGATTTGACTATGTCGCTCGTAAAGCAAAAGTTGCTAGACGAGTATCAGAGGTGAAAGGAGTGCTGCACGGTTTCGGGTGAGAAGGTGATGACGATGGAATCCCGGGAGCAGAAGCAACGGTTGTGTTTTCACTGCCAGAAGGTTGGCCGTTTCCGTAAGGATTGCCGTCTCTGGTTCGGAAAGACGCCTGTGTTGAATCATCTTCGAGTGTTCGGATGTCCGGCTTATGTGCATATTCCGGACGTTAAGAGGGTCAAATTGGACTGCAAAGCACAGAAACTGTTTTTCGTCGGATACTGTGAGGATCACAAGGCATTCAGGTTCTTGGATCCTGAAACTAACAAAATCACTATCAGTCGTGATGCGCGTTTCATCGAGCAACGAAACGGTTCTCACATGGCGGAACCTGAAGTGAATAAATCGAAAGAAACCGGGGAAGATTACGGATGGCCAGAAGCTGAAGGTGACGAAGCTGCATTTCAGGACGAGGAAGGCGTTCAAGAAGAACAGAAGGAGGGTTCATCTCAGGAGGAGCAAACACCTGAAGGTGGATCTGAACACGATTCGGAGGAAGAGTTCTACGACTGGGACGATCAACAGTTGGTCGACGATCGCACTGTAGCGTCAACGTCTGGTAGACAGCAGCTTGGTGAAAAGCGTTCGACCAGAGTCGTCCAACCGAAGTGGCTTCGGGACTTTGTTGTTGACATGGCAATGGTTGTGCAAGACGATCCAGGGAGCTACGAGGAAGCGATACAGAGCTCGGAGAATGATTTGTGGGAGGCCGAGCTCGGTAGAAAAAACTAAGTGTGTAGATCTGGGACCTTCAGCCTCCTCGGTTAAAAGTCATGTGACATCAAAGTTTAAAATAAAATCATGTTACGTTTATTTAAAAAATATTCGTGTTGAAAATAAACGTGAATGTTTTTGCTTGAAACATTATTTTTGAGTTAATTTAAACGTATATTATGTTTAGAAAAACATATTTATTAATTATTTATATTGTTTAAAACTGCGCAATAAAACAAGTAAAAGTACGCGATTAGGTTAAATCACCTTGGTGTCTTCGATGCATTTAAATAAAGATTTAAATACGTTGGAGACACTAATATGATTCAAACTAATCGTCTGCTTTTATTTGCATTATTGCATGATCCGTATTGAGAAGTGACGCGATGGCACTTATCCAATACCTCCCCATTGTCGGTCTTTCCAAGGGCAACCTTAACAATATACTCTGAGGCTTTTTCTTGCTGGAACTCCAAACCCGTTAGGAAACGATGAGCCCCACAGGACACGAAATGTTCGGTATAGGCACTCCCATTAGCTACTCCTATGATAATAAATAGGTGCACGTTGCTGTATTTTTGAATTATTTAAGATCTAAAGTCCGGCAGGAATGTCATCCATTAAGTAAAGTAAGTACGAACAAAATTTTCCATTTAAATGTTATCATATTTATTATCGGACAATGATTGCAACAGATATTGATTATGATGAATATGGAAATTATTGTTAGTTTGATTCGGGAAAGTTAGTTCAACGTAATTTTACCTTACGCAGATCGGCTAATTCAGGTAGAGGTAGAACCTTTCAAAACACCAAACAGTGTCCTTAGTGTATGATCGTAGCTCATCATTTCAGTACGAAGTAGTGATAGTTTTTGAAAATCATTGGCACAACATCATCGGAAATGAAGTTCCGGTCCGGTCTCTTCGATCTGAACGGATTGAGCTGAGGTGGCGTTACAATTTGCAGCGGTCGTTTGGCATCCTTTTGGAACCGAATCAGATCCAGTGGGCTATCCAATTCGGTGTATGCCGTTGACACAATCGGACAGTTGGCCTGGGCAGCGGCTTGTATGGTATCGGGCCAGGTATCGAATCCAGCAAATCCGGCAGTTGAATGTAGGACCGGATTGAAGAAGCAGATCAGATTCGGTTTGCTGTAGCAGCTGTCCCTCTGGTAGTCGTGGTAGTACCGCCGGCACTGGAAGTCGAATTTGACCGCACGGCACTTCTGGCGGCACGTTCGGCACATTCTAGATGCGTAGAGAGGGAATTGGAATGATTAGGTTTTTAAAGGGTTGGTTGGGGGGAGATGGGAAATCCAGCAATCACGTTTTTTATTTTTGATAGAAATAGTTGATCGAAGAATTATTTGAACAAACAATACATTTTAAAATCTGATTGTGATATGTATTATCAAGAGTACTGCAGACATCACGGTTTCTACTTGACCAGGAAGTAGAAATAGTTTTTGAAGATCATCGGTGCGATCTCTTGGGATATGAAGTTGCGGTCGGGTCGCTGGGAGGCGAATGGGTTCTGCGTCGGCATCTGAATCACCTCCAATGGACGTTTGGATTCCTTCTGCAGCCGTGCCAAGTCCAGAGGGCTTTCGTACTCGGTGTAAGCCGTTACCAGAATAGGGCAGTTGGCCCCGGTGGCCGCCACTATGGTTTTGGGCCACGTATCAAAACTGCCGAATCCGGTCGACCGGTGCAGTCCCGGGTTGTAGAAGCAGATTAGATCGGGCTGGGAATAGCACGAGTCCTGTCGGAAGTCGTGGTAGAACCGACGGCACTGGAAGTCGAATTTGACTACCCGGCATTTCTGTCGACACGCACGGCACATTCTGGAACGTGAAGCAATACATTAGGCAACGGCGGTGGAATCGAAGACACAGTTGAGCAAGGTATAGGATGTGGGAATAATTACCTTGGTGATATGTGCAGGACTTTGATTTTTACCTGCGATTGTTACCTGCGTTCGAACCACGTTGCACGTTAGCCGTATTGTTAAGAAATTCTAGAAATGTTCAATAGAAGGTTTGTTTGCTTTTATCGAAAATTTTGATCACTTTTGGTATTATTTTTGCAGTTTAATACTCTTAAAAGTGCATTTCTTTTGCCAATGGTTTCACAGATTTGGGTGCCAATTTAAATTTCAGACACAGTACAGCTTCCGTTGAATAGTGCTGCCGGTCGTGGTTTGCCGTTCCAGTGCGTAGTTGTGTATATTGGGATGCTTTATATCGTCTACAATAATGGTTAGCCAGGGGGTACAGAAACATACAGGCTGTAAACAGAAACGGTCATGCTTAGGGAGTTTAAAAGTGGGGTCTTTCTAGATTCGAGGATGAGAAAACAACAACGACAACATTCGTAACATAAAAACAAAACCGGAATAGTCAATACCTAGACTGTCACTGAAATAAACATGGGAAACTTGGCAGAGCTCAATGTGTAAGCAGTTGAAATAGACGTTTGAGGAAATGGGGTAATTTCGAATCAATGTGTAGATGTGGGGTTGTGAATGATGGGCCATGAGGGAAGGTTTCATCAATAAATGCTAACATGGAAAATTACTGAAACTATTTCACTATGAGACACAGCGTTTTACAATTAAATACACATTCTGAACAGCATAATTAGGTCGTCTTATATCCATAATACAGTACTGTTTCCTAGCATAATTCATATAAAATTACTTGAACTAACCTAATGTGGTTGATTTCTCTTCTTATTTTTAACGAATAAATTACTTTATTTTTATATTTAGTTTGCAAGGCACTCAACATATAACAAGAAAATGATGAGTTATCACAGAAAGTTTTTCAAATACATTAATAAGTCATAAATTAAGAATCCTGATGAATGTGGGCGTCTATAGTAGAATACCCGTATAAAGATAGAGAGAAGGATGACCCAGGACGAGTATTAGTACAAGACGCAGAAGAAGTCTGCACATTGTAGACGAAATACGCATATCTGTCAAGGATATGCATTGAAGGTAGTAGAATTAAATGAAAATTACTAATCCTTCTCTCTTTTATAATTTAAGGACATTATTAAACATAATTCACTACTGCTGAGAATTTTTTTTTTCAATTTAGCCCGGAATTTTGGAAATGTTTCCTATTTCTGCATTACCTCAATAATTTTGTTGGAACTCAATAAAGCTTTTCTTTGGAGTGTTGTCAAGAATTCCCTATGAATTCCGCAATTATATCAAAGTTCTTGTTTTTCAAGACAAGAATAATTTTGAGGTGCTCTTTGGTATTCCCAAGAAAATTTCTCTACAACGCTTTATTCAGACACTTTTAAAAATATTTGAAATTTCTTTACTCTTAAAATATGTATTTAAATTATGTAAAATAATGTAATAATTTGTTACGATTTAAAAAATTATAAAATTTTCAAAATACTGAAAAAAAAAATTATTTCTCAGTTTATAAATTTAAAATAAGATGCCATTGTTTTTTTTTTTCATTTCTTACCATATTCAGCTGTTTATATGAAACCGGAAAAATATGCTGGGTTCCCGGGAAAACAGGGAATTTATTTTATTAAATTCAGAGGCCACCCTGGACTATATATTTATCTCGAAAAATTATATGTATTATATTTCAAAAAATCTTCTCAAAATAGTATTTTTTACATTTTTACTGGGTAAAATAACTGGCGAGGGTAATATTGCCACCACGTAGGTGTTGCACTTTATGCTTGCTGTTACGCAGGTTACATACACTTAGGAGCTATCCGTACGTTATTATTGCAGGAAGTATACATTTATGATCCATTTAATATACCTTTATAAGGTTTCCACACTTCATGTAGCGACCAAGAAGTTTGTTCCCGTTCTTTCTGCAACCAGCAGATTCTGTTCAGAAAGCTGTTCCCACTATTTCTGCTCTGAAGAAAAAGGGTAAGTTACATAATCTGCAAGTTTCTGCCAGGTACGAGAACAAACCCTAAGGTGCAAGAACAGTTGTCACGATCATGTGAATTTCGATCGTCAGTGATCATACAGTGTTGATGTATTGCCAATAACATGTGAATGATTCCGAGAGAAGGGAGGAGTGGGTTTCATTGGTAGGTAGATCGATTCGAGTTGAAAGTCGAATGATACGTGTCACGCTATTTATGTTTGTTTAGTTGTCGGAAGAATGTGATGGTGATTGCTGGATTCACTTTCAGGAGTAAACCCCTGGTAACAAGAAAGGGTCTAATAAAACAGAACTGAACAGGGTGACCAGTTTCGAGCGGGACGGAAATCGGCACTCACCTGATGCGGCTGATGATGTCTATCGGAAGATTCTCGACGTTCAGTTCGGGACCGACGAACACGACGCGCAGCTCGGTGATTTCCGGCACAATGTGAAGGAAGAAGGCTTCCCACTTGTCCAGGGTGTCACCTTCAAATTGCAACTCCGCACCGACCAGATGGATAGTAAAGGTTTCCGTCGGCCGTAGACCGGCCATCAGGTAACCGTGCAGGGCGGTCAGCGGTGCGGTGGCGATCTGTGTCAGCGTAGCGTAGGCACATTCGTCACGCAGTGCTGCAAAAGAAAGAGCATGGAGGTCATCTTGAACATAGCTGAAGAGACCCTCTACAGAACTTGGGACGCACCATTTGAACTTTTGTACAGCAGTTTAATGACTTCGTCGATGTTCGATGGTAGTTGGAACGACTTGCCGGCTATGCGAATCGGCAGTACCGGTTCGATGCGGCCGAGAATCTTCTGGCGGAGGATGAGCTTCTGGAAGAGGAAGAACGCTTTGCACCACTGACCGTGCGTTGGAAGTAAATGGTCGGGATGTGCGGTGCAGAACGAAACCTGACGGCAGTCCTTGCATTCCGTTAGCAGGTCTTGTCTCCATTCGCGACAACTCGGAGAACAGCAGGTTCGCGGAAACAGTAAGACTTCCCGTTCGAATGCTTGCAGCGGACGCTTCAGCATCTGTTCCGATTGGTTCAGGGTGTAGACGCGAAGGTTACGGTATTCCTCGTCGGACAGTGTGTGCGCCATGTTGTAGATGTGGCCACCTGTCGAGACAAGGCTTAACCTTTACACTTTAAGTTAGAATAACTGTTGTATTACCTCGTCGCTTAGCGAGTTCAACGATGACACCGCAGAGGTCCTTATGCCCTGCGGCATCTGATCGTCGATGTTCTTCATTGCAGTACGATACCATATGACAGCTCTCGCACTGCATAATGTTCCGAAGTGGATTCTTACATATCTGAAAACGAGGGGAACCATAGCTAATGAGTGTTCTCAAGGATTTACGAAGCCACGCAGCTCACCTGACAGTTGGTGGCTAGAAAGACCGGACGAGGTGTAAACTTGTATTCAATGGATTCTTCGTCCTCGTCAAAGTCCTCCTCGAGTTCGTCTTCCTCGGTTGTTTCGGTACCGGCCGGAAGGGTCTTGGGCATTCGACTGGCTGCAGCAACGGTCGCATTCAGTGCTGCCAGCTGCTTTTCGACGTTGAATTTGACGTTTACCTCCTGCAAGGTAGGCATCAAAACACGGATTGTGTCTTTGTTTAGAAGGGCTTGATGAGGCGATGCAGGGGATGAAGCAGAAGATGTTGAGGGCAATGGCTGCTCATTGGCTGCACCGTTGGAAGAACCAGAACCGCCGGCAGTGTTGTCATTTTGAGTCGTTTTCAGAATTGATAGAATGCGATCCAGATTGAGGGACGATTTCGGTGTCTTGGGTTTTGGTTCTTGTGTTTTAGAGCTGATAGCCTCTACGGATGGTGAATTCGAAGTGATGTCTGCTGTATTGGTAGTAGGTGAAGGTGTTGATGAAGGGGAAGGGGTAGGATTATCTGTGGGAGTAGAGGTTTTCTTTTTCTTGGGTTGAGACAGGAGGATATCGGCGAGGGTGGATATAATTTCCATATTTTTCTTAAATGCTTCCGATCTACTTAGCTCCGTGGCTGGGGACCTAGAATCAGACTGAATTGATGTCACGTTTACATTCTGTATCGGTTCGTTTGTTACCGTTGAAGCTTTCGATCCGGTGGCCACAGGCTGCTTGATTGGGGTCTTCATCTTGGCCGCGCTCTTACTGTGCACGTCTGGTTTGGGGGGAACATCGGGTTTCTTGGGTGCGGATTTTGGTGCTTTGGTGCTGCTGGCGGCAGGTTTCTTCACAGCGGATCCGTTCAGCTCTTCCGTTAGCCGAGCGGTGGCGGCAGCATTAGCATCCGGGGTTGGTGCTTCAGCGACAAGAGAGGTGGGAGTGGCGGGTGCAGCAGGACTGACAGGGGCAGGACTTGGAGCGACGGGAGTTGCACTTGGTACCTGTGGTGGCGCCGAAGCTTCTGCAGGTGGAGTCGCTGGCTTGGTGGTTGGCGGCTTGTCCTCCACCGACGGAGATTTCTTCTTAAGGAATTCAGGTTTTGGAGGGAGTTCTGGTTTCTTCGTAGGTTTCGGGGTGGTAGGTGGGGTACTGGGTTTCGGGGATGCCCGCGAAGGAACGGTCTTTGGTGGGGAAGGTGCTTTCTTGGAAGGAGTAGGAGTGGAAGCTTTGGGCAGTGTCTTTTCGGGTGACTTCGAAGGTGTTTGTTGTTTGGTTGGAGTTGTCGATGCTGGCTGTGGTTTCGTTTTGGCGGGTGTTCCATTTGTCTTTGGAGGCGATGCACTCTTCTTCTGATCAGTCGGGGCCGGTTTGGCTGGAGCAGTCTTTTCGGGGGTGGCAGATTTCTTCTCGTCTGGCTTGACGGCGACAACCGGACAGGCTGCAGCTACAGCGGCGACGGCGGCAGTTTCTAGCGATTTTGCTACAACCTGCTCGGGTTTAGCAGATGAGACAAAATCGCTGCTTTCTACGTTTTTTGGACCGGTTGATTTTTCGTCTTCTGATACGCTGCTCTTGGGAGTTCGCTTGTTTCTCTTGTTGGATTTTTGATTCTGGTTCCCTTTGTTGTCGGATTGCTTGTTGTCCTGTTTCTTAGCTTCGGCGGCCTTATCGGAAGCGGCCTTTTCGGTCGCGGCATTTTGAGCGGCGGCCTCGACGGCAGTGGCTTTCTCTGCGACTGCCTTCTTTTCAGTAGCTTCCTTTTGCGCCGCTACTTTCTTCGCTTGCTCTTCAGCTGCTTTCTTGTCTTCTGCCGCTTTGTTCTCAGCGGATGCCTTTTCGGCAGCGGCCTTTTCGGCAGTGGCCTTTTCGGCAGTGGCCTTTTCGGCAGCGGCCTTTTCAGCAGTGGCCTTATCAGCAGCAATCTTCTTCTCGGCTGCCTTCTTTTCAGCGGCTTCCTTTTCCGCCGCTACTTTCTTCGCTTGCGCTTCAGCTGCTTTCTTGTCTTCTACCGCTTTCTTTTCGGCAGCGGCCTTTTCGGCAGCAGCTTTTTCAGCAGCAGCCTTTTCGGCAGCAGCCTTTACGGCAGCGGCCTTTTCGGCAGCAGCCTTTACGGCAGCGACCTTTTCGGCAGCAGCTTTTTCGGCAGCGGCTTTTTCAGCAGCGGCTTTTTCAGCAGCGGCTTTTTCGGCAGCGGCCTTTTCGGCAGCGGCTTTTTCGGCAGCAGCGTTTTCAGCAGCGGCCTTTACGGCAGCGGCCTTTTCGGCAGCAGCCTTTACGGCAGCGGCCTTTTCGGCAGCAGCTTTTTCAGCAGCGGCCTTTTCAGCAGCGGCCTTTTCAGCAGCAGCCTTTTCGGCAGCGGCCTTTTCGGTAGCGGCCTTTACGGCAGCGGCCTTTTCGGCAGTGGCCTTTTCGGCAGCGGCCTTTTCGGCAGCGGCCTTTTCGGCAGCGACCTTTTCGGCAGCAGCCTTTACGGCAGCAGCCTTTTCGGCAGCGGCCTTTACGGCAGCGGCCTTTACGGCAGTGGCCTTTTCAGCAGCAGCCTTTTCGGCAGCAGCCTTTTCGGCAGCAGCCTTTTCGGCAGCAGCCTTTTCGGCAGCAGCCTTTACGGCAGCGGCCTTTACGGCAGCGGCCTTTTCGGCAGCGGCCTTTTCAGCAGCGGCCTTTTCGGATGCGGCCTTTTCGGCGGCGGCCTTCTTATCAGCGGCTACTTTTTCTGCCGCTACTTTCTTCGCTTGCACTTCAGCTGCTTTCTTATCTTCTGCCGCTTTCTTTTCGGCAACTGCCTTTTTCTCAGCAGTGGCTTTCTCTGCGGCTGCCTTCTTTTCAGTGGCTTCCTTTTCCGCCGCTACTTTCTTCGCTAGCTCTTCAGAAATTTTCTTGTCTTCTGCCGCTTTCTTCTCAGCTGCTACCGTTTCAGCAGCGGCTTTTTCAGCTGCAATCTTCTTCTCAGCTGCCTTCTTTTCAGTGGTTAACTTTTCCGCCGCTACTTTCTTCGCTTGCTCTTCAGCTGCTTTCTTGTCTTCTACTGCTTTTTCATCGACTGGCTTCTTTGCACCTTCATCGTTCTTAGTTTGCTTCTTCTGCTTTTCGGAATCCTTTCTGGTACGCTGCTGCTGTTGTTGGACTGTCGATTCTGTTTTTTTCTGTGTTAATTCGTTGATTTTTTGTTCGACTGCATCAACACGAGCTTGCTGTTCTAGGAGCTTTACCGCTTCCTCTATCTTACGGTCCTTCTCCGCTAGTAGCCGTTTCGCTTCCTGGTCTTTTTGATCCTTTTCGGCTTGCAGTTTCTGTATTTGCTGCTGTTTCTTGACCTTATCCTCCATTAGCTTTCTGGATTCGTTCTTGATTCTGTCCCGTTCTTCGGTTGCTTTCTTGACTTCAGCCTGTGCTTGCTTTTGTGAATCTGAATCGTTCCTATTCCTTGCTTGCTTGTTCTTGTTTTGCTGCTTGGGGGACGCTGGCTTTAGATTGTCCAGCTTCTTCTGCTCTTCATTAGTTTGTTGTTGCACCTGTTGGAGCACTTTTTCCGCGATTTCGATCTTCTTCTGCAGAACTTCTACGCTGTTGGTGGTCTTCGGAGCATCACCGGGGGTTCCAGCAATAGCACCTTCGACCGCAGCAATCTGTGCATTAGCCGAAGATTCAGCCAAGGCCAAGGCTCGCATTCGCTTTGCATGTTTCTTCTTGTGTTCCTTCTTGGGCTTCTGTTCAGCTGGTGTGGCCTTTTGTTCGACCTCTTCACCTTCAACTGGTTTCTTCTTGCGGTGCCGACGGTTGCGTCTTCGCTTCAGGGTTGTAGTACCTTCAGCTTCGCTGGCAGTTCCCTCTGCCGCGGTAGTGGTTTCTCCGGCCGTTCCATTCTGCAGTGGTGCTATAGGAGCTTTGACCGGATGATCTTCCTTTGGCTTGGCTGGAGCCTGCTTCTGCTTCAGTTTAGGAGAGGCAGGTTTCTTGTCCGTTTCGGCTGGCTTTGAAGCTGCCTTGGCAGGAGTAGGTACATCAGCAGCAGGCTTGGCTGGATCTACTGGCTTTTCTACGCCCTTCACGGCCTCCTCTTCCACAACGGGTTCAACTGTTGGAGCTGACTCGGTGGCAGCTTCCGCTTTCACAGGTCCACTTTTAGCCTTCCCTTTCTTGGCCATCACTTGCGTCTTTTGTTGAGTGCTGTAGAAGAAAATGATTTTGTTTTAATGAACCAGTTAGAGAGCTGTTGTTCGCAGATATGATAATTTCAAACAAGAAGCGGTGTGGCATCTGGGTTTTCGTATTATGGCTTACGGTGTATGCGAAATAAACCATCCGAGCGCTGTAAACAAGTTATAAATATAGCTATATATAAAAAAAATTGTTTTGCTCCGAATGCGGTAACTGTAAAGTGTGAGTAAAACGCCAGGACGATTGAACTTGTTGACTACTGTGCGTCACTAGAAGCCATTACGCAATGATCTGTTTCTGTTTGAAAGTGCTCAAATGTATCGCTTGGTTCGTCAAATTCTATCAAAAATTTGCAAAATCCATTCAAAGCGTCAAACGAGAGTCTACACTTTAGCAGCGTTGATTCATTTTGTGGTTAGAGGTGACGAAATGTTTTTGGCATTCGCTAAAATGTCGCTTTTTCTTTCTTTTTCTTTAGAAATCAAAAATCCTGTGCCGTCTAGCTCGAGCGTGACACACATCGGATTTAGAATTTTACTGTTGGCTTCCCTTCAGCTGGGGTAGTAAAAAGAAGGTGCACGTTGGCCATGGACGAAGCTGGCTCATCGGTTTCAAAGTTATAGGGTAATGTCCCTAATGTCGGTCAAAGTGTCCCTAATATTGGGACATACATAAATTTCGACGAAAAGCATTTTTTGACAATGTTACACTAACATTCAAAAATATCCATTGCGAAAAATTGAAGACAAAAGGAGATTTTTAATGATGGGCCCAATTTTTAGATTCATAGGCCAACATTAGAGCCATTTCCCATATGCAAAAACAAAACTTTTGACTTCTGACATCGATTCTTCGAGTGCTCATAAAATGTCATTTTAAACGAGTCCTAATGCATGAAGTTAAGATTAATGCTTATGCTTATTATTTTTTGACAAAATTAATTACACTTTCCCCACCCAACCCATATTAGCTGCATTGATGGTAGTAATCTGTAACCATTGGTGATCGCAGCGAATTTCCATTAAATATTTTCGGTTAGACAGTCAAGATCGGATCCCAGTCGAATTTCAGACGAGTAGGCATTGAATTTAGTCCAAGGGCACACGTGCAGCTCAATTTTCGATCGCTGCTAATAGCCAAGTACATGGCACTGTAATTTTAGATTTATGGAATTTTCAGTCTTGACGCATGGCAAAAAATCTACATTTTTAAACATTCAACCGAAAAAAATCCCAATTTTTTCATACAACATGCAGCGTCGGTTTTTGACGACGTAAACGTCTCGTCAGATAGGTAAAGGATGGGAAGAAAAATAAACAGAAGTGAAAGCGAGCCGAATTTTTCTTTTCGACTCACGCATCCTAAAAATAGACTGTTTTCTATGCTCTGAGGGCATTGCCTCGATCGGTGCTTGTATAGAGCTCCCACATGCCGAAAGAGCAAACAAACATAGCAGCTGATGGGAAGGATTCCATCAACGTCAAGTATGGCGCGTCTCCATCGAGGGAGGCTGGTTTTTACAAATACATATTCTTGAACTTCACCGCGAAATGTGAATTCTTCCGTCAGATGGCCAAGGTGATTTTAAGCAACCATTTTGTTGGATACTCGCTGCAGCTGGTTCATTGTGTTGTGACGGCTTTTGAGAAATGAAAAATGGTGCTGAAAGTTTACAAGGGGCGGTTTTCACGGTCTTTGTCCGTTGTTGATACGGCCAATGAGATCAACCCAAATTTGTGTTCAGTATACTCATAAATCGCAAAAAATGCAGGAACTCAGCGATGAGTAAATTTGCCTCTTGTTTTCCCAAGTTTTCCAGGTTTTTTTTTTTCTAGAAAAAATAATCGCGAATATGAGAATAGTAAAGATTTGATTGTCTCAGTGTATTAGTACTAACTACTCCCAGACTGAGTAAAATTTTCTTCACGGATAGAAATCTCCTCTTTTGGCAAATTTCTATTGCTGATTATTCATAAAATGTATAAGTCAACTAATAAGATCATGTGTCAAATGAAATGTATTACTGGTCACATATACCTTTTATGCATTCTTATAGGACATATGTGGTTTGTCTTATGGAATGTATAAGGCTGATGTTTTGGCAAAAATGTATGAGTGGGACACATTAATAAAATAATTGATTTTCGTTTCGTGTTCAATTTTCCTAATTTTCCGGCAAATTTTTTACGTTTTCCACAAGGAAACATGTGGGAAATTTACTCATCGCTGAGTTCCTGCACTTTTAGCGATTATGAGTAAACTGAACTCAAATTCGTGGGCCGTGAATATGGTATTGTCAGTGGACTTCTGTGACGGTTTTGTCTCGTTTTGTCCCAAATAAAACTGGCAATATTAATTGAAAAGTGTGCATTTTTTACATTCTAATACCACTTTCATGCTACAGGCTATTCTTCGATGCAATCGGTGTAAATATTTACATTATTTGACAATTCTCAGGTAATCATGACAGCAGTAGGTCTCTTTTCTTCATTCAAATTGTTTTCAATAATCAAACGTCATGATTACCTGGGTTTTTTCAAATAAGGTAAATATTGTAAGGTGCTTGTACCAAAGAATAACCAGTGTTGTCAAACGTCATGTATATTATTTCCAGTGAATACTTGATGTATCCAGCTTTTTACGCTAGTCATAACTTTAGTCAATCAACCCCCGGTATGACGATAGGCTATTGCTGGTTTTATAGCAGTATTACAGAAGGCTTCGATTTCGAAATGAAAACATTTCAAATTTCAAGTGATTTTTTGCACATCTGTTTATTTTCAGCAAAGAATTGATTAAATTACTTTAAAATTCAAATCATGTTATTGGTGGGTGTTGGCCAATTTTTGATTTTTCAGATATAATCCTAAATAGGACCTAGATTATTAAATACTCTAGTAACCTGAAGTCCGTGCTCTGTCACTGTCTGTGATTAATCGACACTCAATGGGTAAAAGATCAAATTTGGGATGAATTTGAAAGAATGGGAACATAGAGTGTAGAGCGCACTGGTTGATTCTGAAGCCTGGCCAGTGGGTTATGGGTTTATTTAATTGTACGTCATTTCCCGAAAAAAATATGGCCAATATAGCGCATATTGAAATAATTGCCAAATTCTAATTAGGGGAAATGACGGCTTCGGCATGACAGACTATTTTCGGCAACCCAAATTGAAACACTATTTTCACTGGATTTTCTTACGAAAACACTTCGCTGAATGCATGCAAACGATTCTTTATGCTTTCAGCTTCAATTTGACTATATTTTTACTACTGAGAAAAAGCAATCTAGCAGGGTTTTATTGAAATGAAACACACGCACTACAAATTGTAGCTGATTTCGAGTTGCCGATAATAGAACAGCAGATTTACATGCAGTTCAAATGGCACGGTTGCCGAAGAAAAACTGGTTGCCGACAATACTCGCTCTCACTAGAGAAGATTGGAGCTTTGTAAAAGCGTTTCAAAACAGTTTTTGACAATTCTTTCGACTGAAATTGTTAGAGCAGCTGGCAGCAAAAGATTGTAAACAAACCAATACTGCATATGTGTGCGTTCCATAGAGAAAAAGGCTATAGAAAGAAGGTCGCTGCTTAGGTTGCCGAGAATACGTAAATTCCCCTACTTGAATTAAATTACTGCGTGCAAGTATGTTTTCGAAATTTGCATATATATGTTATTTGGAAAGTTATATGTTGATCTAAGGGTATGCAACTCTGCACACATTAATTCGTGCCGAGTGATTGAGTTGTACCGAAAGCTGTGCCAAGCATTGTGCCAAACGTAACTGTCAAGGTCCATCAAAGTATGCCTAACAAGGTGTCCATATTCCATGAGTTTGGCAATCCTGAAAGTTATGACTCTTGTGATTATGTTTACATTATAAATTTGCCTGATGGATGGATGGCAAGCATTCACCTTCATTCGAATTGGAGCGTTAGCGGGTCACGAGGTGGCAGAGGAACTGGAAACCATTAAACCATATGGTGTTCAAGCAAATTCAACCCATCCACAAGATTCTGGCTAGATGTCCTTTTGAATTGTTGATTCCTTGCAGGTGTACAGAAACAAAGGAGAAAACCGATCGACGATGAATGAAATTCCTGTCTATTCAATCTTCCTCGACTATTTAAAGTAAACCCAGAACTCGAACGGGCGTTAGTTCAATCCCACGCTAGGAGCAACATCTTCGAATCAGATTTAAATCATCTGATCGACTCAGAAGAGCGTGTATTGCTGATTATGATGCCTTCTACCACCTCCTAATTACACACCACCAAGCCTACCAAGCTACGATCTGATGCAGTTGTGATACCTTCCGCAATGTACCACCGATGAAAACTATCAAACATCTCCCCCTGAAGATTTGTCATGATTCGAAAATAGAATTCTTGGCCATCGCAGACTTCAGCGGAAGCGCTTTATCCAGCGCCTGTAGGTCTTTATAGAACTCTAGAAGTTTCCGCCCAATTAACTCAGCTCCACACAGACGACTGACGTGGGCGATTCGTTATTCAAGAGCTTATAGCATTCTATATCCCTATGAAGTCCTGTGGTCATGCCATCAAAGTCTATACCAATAGAGACTAATGACTGACAAGAATATCCGAGCAAAAACACAGGAGAAATGTTAAAACTTCCGTTCTGAAGATACTCGGTAAGACCGGGATTCATATCTTATTGTTAATGTACCTCAACTCTCGCAGAAGATCCTGCTCAGATCCTTCGTTGTACGCTTCGAGATTGGATACCCACGACAGTATAAAATGCTAAGTTCAAAAATAAGAACTGTATTCTGGAATAAAGCCTCCTGCAAAAGTTCGCGATTTTTCACGAAGTTCATCAAGGAAATCGCGAGTCGTATTGAGTTTTGGCGAACTTTTCCTATACTGAATGTAAGGATTCATCAAACTCCAAAACTAAACTCGATCTTTGCAGGATGCTTTTCTTACGAATATTAGCATAGCGTAGGTATTCCGCCATCCCCGTCGTATAGTTGGGGTCCATTTG